ACGACCATTCGCACATCTACATCTACTACTACTACTACTACTACCACTACTACTACTACTAGTACTACTACTACTACTACTACTACTACTACTACTACTACCACTAATACTACCACTACTGCTACTACTACTACTACTACTACTACTACTACTACTACTACTACTACTACTATACTACTACTACTTTACTCCTAGTACTACTAGGTACTAGTACTAGTACTAATACTAGTACTAGTACTAGTACTAGTACTAGTACTAGTACTAGTACTAGTACTACTACTACTACTACTACTACTACTACTACTACTTCTCACTTCCCATCCTTTCAGAAAGCAACAGGGCGAGGACAGGAGAAAGGGAGCGGGGAACTTCGGGAAAAAAAGGTATGGTCAGCGGGGGCCAGCGTGGACGACCACGGAGCCGACACTGCGCTTCGGCGAGGGTCCCAAGACGAACTCCGACGGTGCCAGGTTGCCTAACAGCGCACTGAAACGGCCCAAGGAAAGATAAGAAACACGCGAGACTCCCAAAACGCCCCCAAAAGCCATCCCAGGCGCTTCCAAGAGGCCCCCCATCGGAACCAACAATGGAGGAAGAAGACCAGGAAGGGAGGAGGACGACGACGAACACTAGCACTGATACCCCGACACGAAGCAGAAAAGCGTGTGAACGCTTGCGGTTCCCAGGCCTCGGAGCACGATGTGCACGGAATCCGGTGGGTTCCTCGAGCAATCACAACCCAAGGGTGCCAGGATGGCTCGGTCGCGGGAGGTGCTGCAGGCAGCTGGACAAGAGAGGGGTGAGAGGGGCACGGAACACTGGGTAGCGCTGAAGACACGGTTGCAGCGTGTGGCGAGGAATCTATACAACGGAAGGGCTATGTGATCCTACCTGGCCGGAAGATTAGGAGGTCGCATAGCAATAAAGGACCATAGGCGCTTCTGCACACGAAGGGCACAGAGGAGTAACAATGCTCCTAAAGCCCCGAACGCACTGCACTGCACTATGGCCACACATATTGTCGCCTCTCCTCGTCCTCCGCCGTTTCCGGGCCCCATCCTGCTACTACTCCGCCCAATCTCCCTGCGCTATCTGTCCCTCCTCATCCGCTTCATGCGAATTCCCGTCCTCCTCGTTTTGCTCTTCCTTCTCCTTCCCGTTATCATTACGCTTCTCCTCCTCCACTTCCTCCTCCGCCTTCTCCTGCTTCTCCTCCCTACCCCAGCTCTACCCATTGTCCACATGATCGGGGCGATGCTATACTCATGTCCTACATCCAGCACGTCCTGGCAGTAGTAGTCGAAGTAGTAGTAGTAGTAGTAGTAGTAGTAGTAGTAGTAGTAGTAGTAGTCGTAGTAGTAGTAGTAGTAGCAGCAGCAGTAGTAGTAGTAGTAGTAGATGCAGTAGCAGTAGCAGTAGCAGTAGCAGTAGCAGTAGCAGTAATAGTAGCAGCAGCGATCGTAGTATTAGTAGTAGTCGTTGTAGTAGTAGTAGTAGTAGTAGTAGTAGTAGTAGTAGTAGTAGTAGTAGTAGTAGTAGTAGTACTAGTCATAATAGTAGTAATAGTAGTAGTAGTAGCCGTCGTCGTAGTCGTAGTAGTCGTAGTAGTCGCAGTAGTAGTAGTAGTAGTAGTAGTAGTAGTAGTAGTCGTAGTCGTAGTAGTGGTAGTAGTAGCAGTAGTATTGGTAGTAGCTATAGTAGTAGTAGTAGTAGTAGTAGTAGTAGTAGCGGTAGTGGTAGTAGTAGTAGTAGTAGACACAGTCACAGTAGTAACACTAGTAAGTTGTACAAGACATTATACTAATATGTCGTAGTAGTAATAGTAGTCGTAGTAGTAGTAGTAGTAGTAGTAGTAATAGTCGTAGTAGTAGTAGTAGTAGTCGTAGTAGTAGTAGTAGTAGTAATCCTAGTAGCAGCAGTCGTAGTAGTCGCAGTAGTAGTAATAGTAGTAGTAGTAGTAGTAGTAATCGTGAAAGTAGCAGTAGCAGTAATCGTCGTGGTGGTATATAGTAGCAGTAGTAGTAGTAGTAGTAGTAGTAGTAGTAGTAGTATCAGTCGTAATAGTAATAGTAGTAGTAGCCGTAGTCGTAGTAGCCGTAGTCGTAGTAGTAGTAGTAGTAGTACTGGTGTTGTGCTATTAGCAGTGGTTGTAGCACTACTTCCAATACTAGTACTAGTACAAGTTCGGGTATTCGTACAAATTCTAGTGCCAGTACCCGCGGTAGTAGTAGTAGTAGTGGTAGTAGTAGTAGTAGTAGTAGTAGTAGAGGTAGTAGTAGTAGTAGTAGTAGTAGTAATAGTAGTAGTAGTAGTAGTACTAGTAGTAGTAGTAGTAGTAGTAGTGGTAGAAGTTTTAATGGAAATCGTCGTACTGAAAGGAGTAGTAGTACCAGTAGTGGTAGTAGTAGTAGTCGTCGTCGTCGTCGTCGTCGTAATAATAGGAATGGTGGTCGTAATAGTAGTCGTGGCAACAATAGTACGAGTAAACATCACACTAGTAGTAATCGTAGTAGTAGTAGTAGTAGTAGTAGTAGTAGTCGTAGTCGTAGTAGTGGTAGTAGTAATAGTAGTAGTAGTAGTAGTAGTAGTAGTAGTAGTAGTAGTCGTAGTAGTAGTAGTAGTAGTAGTAATAGAAGTAGTAGTAGTAGTAGTAGTAGTAGTAGTAGTACTAGTAGTAGTAGTAGTAGTAGTAGTAGTAGTAGTAGTAGTAGTAGTAGTAGTGGTGCTAGTGGTAGTAGTAGTAGTAGTAGCAGTAGTAGTAGTAGTAGTGGTAGTAGCAGTAGTAGTAGTAAGGTTGTCCGGAGTTCTTGTTCTGCGTAAAAAAAAGTGGGACAGGTGTGAGGGCCCAGGTTCGGCTTCGGAAGCGCGCGCAACAAAAGAACAACAAATCCAACTACGCGTTGCAATAATGATCCCAATGGAAAATGGAGCGCCTCTGGATTTCAAGGAGAACAAGCGTTCTGCTTACAATGAGAGCGAAGCGTATCTGGGTTCCACGGAAAACCTGACTGTTCCATTTAATAATAATATAAAAAGGAAAGCGGATCGCATCTGGATTACATGGGCAACAATTTTTTCATGTACCATGTTAAGAAAAACCGTTCATGGAAAATGGAGCACACCTGGCTTCCACGGAAAACCATGTGCGATCTAAAACCGGAGGAACCCGACGGAATCAGAAGGACCCTGGCGAATCGTAAAGAAACAAAACAATATGGGGAATACTCAAGGACCTGGCAGATTTTTTCTGTAAAAAACAAACAAGTCCCGACGAATCCTGACGAGTCATCAGGCACCCTCAGGAATATAAAGAGGTCTGGGTGAATCCTGGAACCTTATCGAAAATTCCGTCGAACCTTTGTGCATCAAGAAGACTCGTTGGGAATCTGGGGGGGCCTGAAAAATTCTGCAGAAACCCAAAAACAGAAGGAATCCTGAAACGCCCAGAAGAATCCGAACGACACAAACAACCCAAACAAACTAGCAAGAATTGAACGGACTCCCGGGGAAACCAAGGGCCTTAACCCTTGGGGCACCCAGGGGAACCCCAGGGACCCCCAGGGAAACCCCAGGGATCCCGAGGGAAACCCTCGGGATCCCCAGGGGCATCCTTGGAATCCCTTTGGAAACCCCGCGGATCCTTTGAGATCCCAAGCAGATCGCCAAAGAAATCTAAGGGGTCATTGGGCATCTTGGACGGTCCCAAGGGAAACCTGACCCTTGGGGGTTCTTAGCGGACCCCGAGGGAAACCTTAAGGATCCCTAGAAATCCCGAGCGGATCCCCAGGGCCCTACGGGGACCCAAGCGCATCCTTAACAGATCCTCGGGGAAGCCCGAAGGATCCTTCGGGGTCCTACGCGGATCCCTTGTGGAACCTTCGGGGTTCTCCGGGATCCTGAGTGGATTCCCATGGGAACCGCAGGTATCCCACGGCGGATGCTTTTCGGATCCTGAAGGAAACCTTAGCGAACTCCACAAGAACCCCCAGGATTCCTCAGGCCTCGAGTCGCAAGACGTGGGCCCCATATTGCCAGAGTACTGATAGAAATAATAGTAGCAGTCGTAGTGGTAGCAGTTGTAATAGAAGTAGTAGTAGTCGTCGCCGTCGCCGTCGTCGTCGTCGTCGTCGCCGTCGTAGTAGTAGTCGTAGTCGCAGTCGTAGCCGTAGTAGTAGTAGTAGGCTAGGGGGGGGGGGGACCCCCCTGTCGGTCCTTCGCTGCGCAGCGTTGCCCATACCTGCTTGTAGCTCTACGCTTTCGGTTTTCGCTTTGCCAGAGATGCAGTTCTGATCTCATCATTCCATTCCTCCCGCGCCCTGATTCGCATCGGGGCGCAAGGCTCTACCATTCCTTCTCTCCCATGTCCTGGTTCTGGATTATGAGAAATACAGAAGTAACGCAGACAACTATGCTTGTTGCAACCCGCGTTAAGGCGAATGCAATATAACATCCGTAAGCTGTTTCTAGTACTGGCTTTCATAATTGATCACATAAGATCCTGAGCTATAGTGGCCCTTCATTCTTCAAGCAACGCAAAACCGTTGCCTCTGACGGCATCACACACACGACTCGGTTCTCCCTGCCGCAACGGTCAAACATTGTCTTGCGAGCACGAGTTTGATAGGTAAAGTAGATTTTCGGGTCGATTTCCTGTTGCTCCCCGTGCTCAGAGACGTTCGCGGGTTCTTCGTTCCTCATGCGTCGGCCAGACAGTAGCCCATGACGGCATCAAACACACGACTCCGCTCTTTATGCTGCAGAGGTCAAACATGGCTCTTGTGAGCGCGAGTTTGATAGGTGAAGTAGATGTTTGGGTCGATATACTGTTGCTCTCCGTTATCAGAGACGTTCGCGGGTTCTTCGTTCCTCAAGCATTGGCCAAACAGTAGCTTTTGATGGCATCAAACACACGACTCGGCCCGTGCTGCTGCAGAGGCCAAACATGGCTCGTGCGAGCACGAGTTTGAAAGTAAAGTAGATTTGTGGGTCGATTTCCTGCCGCACCCCGTTCCCAGCGGGAAAATCCGAAGGATAATCTTTCCACGCAGCCCCAGGAGGCCACAGGCAGCCCTCGAGATTCTCAGTTGTATCAGAAGCCCTCGCCCGTTTCCTGAAGACCGAGCACGCGCGGAATCCGTCCGTGGTGGATCATGTCGGAGAAGGCCCCTTTGACACATGAGGAACTCGAAATCGACTCACAATTTCTCCAACGACGCCCCTCGTGGTCTAGACGCCACCTTTTTTCGAGCTTCATCCTGATAGGTTCATAGCAGAGGCGGCTTCAAGCTGTACGTATGAAGCAAAATTGCACACGGCGGCAAAGCGACACCGCTCGTTCTTGCCCTGTGCACCGGGAGAAACACATCTACTCGCTATCCGAGCCCTCGCAGTCAGACAAGGAACGAGATCGCGAGCACGACCGCGGGGGCATGCCCGGCGCCACCTGCTTCAGGATGTGGTTCAACTTGCGGTTCTGATACGACAAGTCCTCGATCGTCACCCTAGACGCAGCGAGCTCGCTCCGCGAAGTCTCGTTCTCGGCCGCCTTCGCGTCCAACTCCCCGCTCAGGTCTTGGCGCAGCGCGCGGTTAATGATCTTCTCCTCCATGTCCTCGTCGCCCGACTCTTCCTTCTCGTCGTCCGATTCCTTCTTCTCGTCGTCCGACTCCTTCTTCTCTTCGCTCTCGTCGGAGCTGCTGCTGGAGGCGTCGCTGTCCTTCTCGACGCCGTTGCCCTCGCCCTTCTCGTCGCTCTCGCCGCCTCCGCGGCCTCCATTGCACTCGTCGCCGCCTCCGGATGCCTCTGGGCGAGACTCATCATCCTGCGCCGCCGCCACCCCCTGCGCTGGCGGCGGCGGCTGCGGCGCATCTCCTGCTGCCGTCGCCGGCCCCGCGCGCGGATGCGGCAACGTCAGCGCGGGCGCCGTCAACGCTAACTGAACTGATTCTGTCCATCCCCGCTTCTTCTCGGCATGCCAAGTTTGAAACCTCGGCCAGCCCTGCCGCTGCCACTTTCCGCCTTTGGACGGCCCCCCCGGTGTCACTCCCAGATAGCGTTGT